CAAAAGTTGCATTCTCGCCCTTGGAACGGATTTCCCCGACTTCTTCTGTCCGCGGATGGGCCGCTTTCGCACCTGTGGGAAACTCCAGCGAAAATTATAATGCCCCGGTTAAAGTTCTTGGTGCGGATAAAGGGGTCGTTTTCTTTCTTATTCCTCCCCGAACCCAGAAAAAAAAGTCTGGGAGTTGGGAAAAGGGTCTGGAAAGCCGCGTTTGGCTTCCCGCTTTCCCTTTAGGGGTGTCTCGGGCGGCGGGGGGAGTTGGTATCCCTTTTAAAACCGGGAGAGAAGGCGCAAACCGTTCCTGGGGATATTTGGAGGTGTACAGATGAAAACTTTTATTTTATTTTTTCCCCCCCGCACTCCCAAAAATGGCCGGAACCGAAATTCAGAGAAAAATGAGCCAATCAAACTTGGAAAGCGTTTGTAGGAAGTAGGGCAGTCCCTGCCACCCCTGTTCTCCCTACTCCCCCCCTCCCACCCACCCAAAAAAAAGCCATTCACACAAACAAGTGTTGTTATTTTTTTAAAATTCGAACTTGGAATAACTTGAAGCCCGAGGCGACTTGTATAACTCGGGATAGATGGTCCCCAAGGACACGCAGGACTCCCGTCTGCAAACTGTGGGCAGACATTTCCCCCACCCCACTCCCACCCCCACCCCACTCTGCCAACCGCACCCGGGGCCCTCTGCTGCCCCCTCTCTTCCGCTGCGTTTTGGGGGAAGGGGGAAGAGAGCGTCGGAGGCAGCCTTTCCACCACAAAGTTTACAGGTTTGGCCTGGGGGTGGGGGGAGCTTCGTCCTGCGTGAAAAAAGGGGGGGGCGGCTGCGCTTTGATTGGTCGCTACCTCCTCATTTATAGGCCGTCAATCAAACGGCAGGGCGAGAAGGCCGTTGCTGGGCTGTGGGGGAGGGGGCGACTGGCTAACTGGCTGAGTTTGGGCACCGTCGGGAAAGCCAGGGAGAGTCGCCGCAGCCGGACGCTCTGCCTGCCCGCCCGTCTCCTTGGGTGCCGAGAAGCAGAGACCGGGAGCGGATCGTCACCAGATTTTTCTCCTTTCTCGTGGGATTCGGGCTTTCTTCCCCGGCCGCCACGCTGGCGCATCTCCTGCCCGCCCCGGCGATGTACAGCCTGCTGGAGAACGAACTGAAGCCGCCCCAGGGTAACCCCGGCGGGGGCGCCGCTGGCAACGGGGGTCCCGGGAGCGCCGGCAAAGGAGGAGCAGGAGCGGGAGGCGGCGGCGGCGGCGGGACCAACGCGGCTGTCCCAGACCAGGACCGGGTCAAACGTCCCATGAACGCCTTCATGGTGTGGTCGCGGGGGCAGCGCCGCAAGATGGCCCAGGAGAACCCCAAAATGCACAACTCGGAGATCTCCAAGCGCCTGGGCGCCGACTGGAAGCTGCTGAGCGACGCCGAGAAACGGCCCTTCATCGACGAGGCCAAACGCTTGCGCGCCGTCCACATGAAGGAGTATCCGGATTATAAGTACCGGCCCCGTCGTAAGACCAAGACGCTGCTGAAGAAGGACAAGTACGCGCTGCCGGGCAACTTGTTGGCCCCGAGCGGGGGTCCCGGCGGAGGCGGAGGCGGCGGGGCAGGCGGCGGGGTGAGTAGCCCGGTGGGCGTCGGGCAGCGCCTGGACTCGTACGCGCACGTCAATGGCTGGCCCAACGGTGCCTACGCGGCGGCTTCGCTGATGCCCGAGCAGCTGGGCTACGGGCAGCACCCGGCCATGGGCAACGCGCAGCTCCAGTCGCTCCACCGTTACGACGTCAGCGGCCTCCAGTACAGCCCCATCATGTCGAGCGGCCAGTCCTACATGACGGCGGCCGCTTCCACCTACAGCATGGCCGCCGCCGCCGCCGCTTATGGCCAGCAGCCGTCGAGCCACGCCATGAGCTTGGGGACTATGGCCTCGGTGGTTAAAGCCGAGCCCAGCTCGCCGCCGCCGGCCATCGCGTCGCACTCCCAGCGGGCCTGCCTGGGGGACCTCCGCGATATGATCAGCATGTACCTGCCGCCCGGCGGAGACGCCGCCGACCCGTCGAGCCTGCAAAGCGGGCGCCTCCACGGCGTCCACCAGCACTATCACAACGCCGCCGGGGCGGCCGTCAACGGCACCGTCCCACTGACTCATATCTGAAAGAGACCCCCCGAGCTGAGCCGGCAAAGCGCCAGCCGCCTCTCTTTGGCCCCGCCCGGCCGCCCCGTCGAAGCTCCGGGAACGCGGCTCTTGCCAGGTCCCTGCGATGGAAGCCGCCTTCTACGTCCGCCGTTGTTGCCATCTTCCGAGGCGACCCCCACTCCCGACCCCTTTTGCTTTCCCTCAATCCTCCCAGCCCCCCAACACGCCTGCGGAGAGCCACGTCGGGCAAAGGAACTCCCCCCCCTCCTTTTGGTTTGTTTTTAACGAACGCGTAAAAAACATGAACTTCTTGTCTGGCTTTCTCAGAGCACAATTGACTGTTTTAAAAAAGAGACTTTTTACAAAAGGCGCTGTGAAATTTCTGTTTCTCTCCCCCCCACCACCACCCCAGCACCTTCTCCCGCTCCTCCCCTCCTTGTCCCCCTTCTTTTTCCAGTACTCCACGGGAGGGTTTTTTTTCCCTCGGGGTGGGGAGGGCTGGGGAAAGGATGGTTTGGAGGGGAGAGAGCGCGATTACGCAGCAAAGGCTTCCTCTTGTTAATGGGACCCTGGTTTCCAATTCATCTTGAAAAAGGAAGGAAAAAAAGCGAGACTTCTATTAAGTGGGGAGGTGGGTTACCCTTCCTCCTGAAATGTTTACATGTTTTTATTTCCTCGGATGGAGTCCTTCGTTCCTTCCCCCGTGTTTCCCCCTCCCTCCCACCTCTCCAAATAATCCCGTCTGGATTCTTAATTTTTTTAAAAAAAAAATATCTATAATAAAAAAAGTAATCTGCACGGCTTCTCTTCGTTTTCCTAACCCGGGACATACCCGGGCCAAGCAGGGCTTCCTTTCGGTTGGTTTTTAAGACTTCGAGCGGGGGGCGCAAGGGGGTGGTGGTGTCTCCGCTGCTGGAAGGCAGGGCTTGGGTCCAGGCTGGCTTACTTCGGAGTAAAGGAGACCCCGGAGGAAAGTTGGGAGATCGGACGGCCGCCTCTGGGTGGCGCGATCATCGGAAGGCGGCAGGGTGAAAATCCGGACTTTGCAAGACTTTTTTGGGGAGGGGGGGAGAAAATCGATATATTTCAGATATGGAAAACGCACAGCCGTAGTTCTGGGGGTGGTGCTGGAGAGGATATTTTATTCACCCCCACAACAAGAAGAAAAAATTTTTCCCGGTAAGAACTAAAGTGCTTGCGATTTATTTTTTCTGTACCCCCCACCCCCCTCTTGTTCCCAACCGCGCTCGGTTCGGTGGGCGAGCGAAATCAACCGTGCCCGGCCCCTATTTTTTTTTATTATTTCGCTCCCGCCCTGGTAGGTTCGGCTGGCTTTTCTCCTGGTCCCCGCTCCCTCCCCCCGCTTCCCCTCCGGGGGAGGATTTGAAAAGAGGCCAATAAATGTTTACAACGGGTGGGGGGGGTGGCCTTCCTTGGATGTCGTTGTGCCTCTGTTTTTTTGTTTGTAAATCCAAATTCACGGGGAGGTTGGATGAGAGAGTCTCAGCGCGGGTGGGCGAGGGCTCGAGAGTGGGATGGCGTGGGAGAGAATTGGTCCCAGAGGCGTTTGTTGGGTACCGAAATAAACCTGACCGGGTCTTAATTTGGGGGTCTTGCTATAATCGTGGTTTGATCCTTTCCCCCCCCTGTACACTCTTGAAGAAGACAGACCTGCGTGGCGGGGGTGGGGGGTTAAAAAGGCCTGTAAGCCAAGAAATGCGCGCACACACACCGCCCGTGTTGGGCGAATTTCTTTTGAAGGGGCTTCGCCACTCTTAACATGATTTTGAGTAGGGGGATGTCTTCGGCTGAATCGCCTCCAGGATCGCCTCTCCTTCCAACCCCGCGGGGGCCAACTCGGGTCAAGACTGCGAACAGCCCCTTCCGTGGGAATATAAACCCCTACGAAATTCCGCCTGCCGGGGGGCCAAGTTTCGCCCCGGAGGAACGAGATTTCGCCTTGCCAAGCCCGCCGCTCTCCGCACCGACGGATGACTCGGTCGCAACTCCCGATCGCCCCCCCCCCGCGGTGTTTTGGAAATCCAAGGAGTTGGAGGTAAGCCGGGGAAGGTGAGGAGTGGGCGAGGCGCTTCAGCCGTGCGCCAAATCCAGGACCGGGTGCAGTGGGGGGAGCGCCGGCGAGCGCGCGGGAGAGACCCCAAGTCCTCTGCGTTGGGGCAGGCGCGATCCAGAGGGCTTTGGATACCCCTGCCTGTCCATTTCCTTCTGTCTTCCATCCAGGAATTAGGAGCCCAAGTGATTCTGACTTTTTTTAAAAAAATAAATCTCTCCAATATCTGTATTTTTCTCCCCTCTCCCCACTTCAAGGATACGCCGAGATATTGTAGCAACCGGTTTTCTGCCTAACTCGGAAAAAAATCTGTGCAGGAGAGACTGAAGAACACGAATCCTTTTGAAAGAAAAGTCGTGGTTTTTATTCCCCGTCCTTCAATCAAACCCTTTACCCTGTTCCTTAAAAAAAAAATAATTTCGGTTTAACAATCTATCTCTTTACTTCTGCTGTTTGAAGAGCGGAGGGAAAGGCGCCTTGCCTAAAACTCTCCTTTTGAAAGCGAGTTCATTGAATTTCCGAATAAAATTTCCCTCTTCCTTTTTTTTTTTCTTCCTCCCTTCCTTTCTTAAAAGTATCAAACCACTTTAGGATTCTGGCTGAGGCCGAATGCAAAATCAGTCGGGGATTTTGCCAGGGGCGGGGTGGGGGTGGGGGGGGTTCTGTTGGGGGGAAAAGATGCCAGATCGCACCTTGTAACATGTAACATGTTTTACCCGGGTTTAATTTTTAAGGAAAGTTGGAGAGAACTTCTCCCGCTTTCGATTACAGTTTCTGCTCTTAAAATCTGGAGGCGAGATTCTTTCATTGGGAACGAAGTCTCGGGTTGGGGGGGATTTGGTTTGACTAGCCCCCACCCCCATCCCAATTTCCACCGCCGCCGCCCCCCCCCCCGCAAAAAAGATTTC